AAGTTCCTCCATTTGTCCACACTGTGGACTGGTGGAGTCCAAACTCTTTACAGATGTTTTGTAACATTTTCCAGCCTGATGAGCATCAACAACTCTTTTTCAGATCTCCTCAGAAATCTCCTTCGTTCCTCCATGATCCACTTCCACAAACATGTTGTGAAGATCAGACTTTGATAGATCCTGCTCTTTAAATCAAACAGGGTGTCCACTCACACCTGATCATCATCCACTGATTGAAAACACCCGACTCTAATCTCACCTTCAGATTAACTGATAATCCTAGAGGTTCACAAACTTTTACCATCACAAATATGTAATATTGATCATTTTCCTCAATAAATAAATGAAGTAGTAGAATATTTTAGTCTCAGTTGTTTGACTGGGTTCTTTTTATCTACTGTTAGGACTTGTGTGAAAATCTGATGAAGTTTTAGGTCAAATTTATGCAGAAATATAGAAAATTATAAAGGCTTCACAACCTTTCAAGCACCGCTCTGAATGTCCAAATCTCACGCTGATGAAAAACTGGTCCAGATCTGCACATTTCTAACTCCAGTAGAATAAAAGGTTCAAGCGAGAACAAAGCAGGCTGACTTTTAATTATGGTTCTGATGGTGGTGTGGCTACAATCCACAACATATTTACTGTAACTGTAAGCTTCTGGGTGACGCAAAGCAGGGAATTAAAATTAAGGTCTGCGAGTAGAGTACATTCATTTTCTTTGCACATTTATCTTCCTTCTGCTATTTGCAACTTGTTATTTACAAAACTGAGTTCTGGTCAAAGGGAAAGGTTTTTATATGAAAATAAATCCAGCAGACTATTAATGTACTGATAATTAGAGTAAATGTGAAAAATGTGCCACGCTGATTTAATTTGACGATGACATGAACATTTTGATTTTGTGTTCACCTCAAAGACTTTTGAATCATTTACATCAAACATCAGCATTCAGCGCATTTGCTTTATGTCAAGAACAATTTTTGTATTTAAGTAACCACCAGGAAAACTGTCACTGGAGATTTGTAATACTGTATAAGTCTCCGAGTCTTAAAGCAGTAGAAGTTCAGCTAATGTTGCTACAGGGGTCAACTCGAGTTCAGCTTGGCTTCTTGTGTAGCTTCACACAACACCAAAACTCTAAGAGGAGAAAAACCATGTGCGCCCGACACTAAACAACTGTCACAACATTTTACAACAAACTGTCCAGATGACATGATTCAACTCTTTTGTGACTCCTGGATTTTCAACCAACGTGTTTATTTATCTGTTTACATTTTTTTTACGATTTCTTTTGACCTAGTGATGCTATCTGTATTTGATAACTAAACTGGGTGTTGCTGACTTTGCCTCCTTCCTGTGCCTGATTTAGTGCTCAGCGCATCTGCTCTGCACCAACTAAGGTAGTTTATCATTTGCGGCATTAAAAACTGCTTATGACAAATGCTGCAACATGTCACATGGAGTCTAGACCAGGGGTCTGCAACCTGCGGCTCTGGAGCCACATGCGGCTCTTTGGTTCCTCTTTCAAGGTTTGACCAAAACAGACAAACCACTGCCAGTTTTAACAGTTTCGTGTCATTTATTTTGCTAATTTGTGAATACTAGAACTAATACAAGGAGTAAAACATACTTTAACTTTATTTATTTAAAGTAGGATACTTAATTTTTCCACAATAAAACAAAAAACACTAGACCTGCATAGTTCATTGTTTAAATTTCCATCCTTCCATCCATTATCTTTAACCCGTTTCTTCCTGTATGGGTCACTAGTGCCCAAATTCAGCTATCACTGTGCAGCGGGGCTTAATTTGAGCCGGATCCTGCCGGAACCGGATCTGAGAACTCTTATTTGGACCAGGTGCGTTCCGGTAACTGCATGGATGCGGCAACTCTCAGTCTTAATAATAATAAAATTAGGAACAAATTTGACTGCCTTGAACGAATAAAACTTACATTGGATATGTAAACTGAAATTAGTGTCACCATTGTTTAAATTATTATTTTTTTAATTGGAAAACAACTAAAAATAAATCTTTCTTTACAATAATCCTGTCTTTTCCTTTATCTTAAAAATGTAAATATATCAATGAATGTTTAAAATCATTAGATAGTTGTAGTTTTATGTCACTCCTACTGGCCTGAAAAGCCTCCTGCAACAAACTTAAAGTGGTCCACTGGCCACCAGTAGACGATCATAGGTGGGGTACGTTTTGTGGCTCTGGACATTTTAATTTAGTGAGTGGAGGGGCAGAAATGGCTCTTTGGATCGTAAAGGTTGCAGACCCTGTGGTAGAGACGGCACAACTGGAACATTGAGTTTGAGCTTTTCTTTACACACAGCAGGGTCACTCACCACTTAGGTCCAGCTCAGAGGTTGAGGCCAGGTTGGCCAGACTCCAGACGTCGCTGCGAGCAGCCAGCACAAACTTATGGGCAAAATATTGCTTCCCTGCAACCTTTACTTTCAGATCACTGAAAAACAAAAAGACAATCTATGAGAAAACCGTGCAAAATGAAATACAGTAGTCCCTCGCTACTTCGCGGTTCACTATATACATATCACTGTTTTTCAAAGTAAGATCGGACACGACACAACTGGCTGATTGATGGATGAGCCATGGATTGTTTATGTAAAACAAACTACTTTAAATGATTTTGCACCATGTGTGAAGCCCACAACTGGGAGAGAATGGGGGCTGTGACTGGCTGCCCTGTATGTCAAGTGACAAATTTCATAGTGAGGATGATAGGGTGATGTATATATATTTTTAATGCCATGTGATCTACCCATAATGTCTTTGCGATCGACTGGTAGATCGTGATCAACGTATTGGGCACCCCGTTCTAGGTCTTCAGTGAGACCGGAAAAACTGAGTCTGTATTTAATCAAATGTGAAGGTACAAATATACAAGAAGCTACCAGCCGCTATTGAGAAAACAAACCAACTAAAGGCGGAACGAAAACAGCAGCCCATCGCTCTGAGCATGATCCTCACCTGTAGTGTTCTTGTTGGTACAGGTTGGCCACAAAGTCCAGCAGACGGCTGACGAAGGTGTCTGCGGCTGCAGAACTCGAGGAGCCCTGGACAGAGTTCTCAGCAGCAAGCACAGCACAGCGCCTCTCGGTGTCGGCCAGCTTCTGCTGCATCTTCACGTACTCCTGCCTCAGCAGGGCCAGGTGCTTCTGCAGCTTGGCCACCTCCTCTGTCCCACATCAAGACGAAGAGGCAGAAAACAAAACAAGCAGCAGATCCACAGAAAACCAGTTGGAAAGACTTTCACGTGAAATCTGAAACAAACGGTTTGAGGTACCGTTGTCCAAACGTAGCGATGCAGTTTAAAAGGAGAACTGTTCAACTGTTTTAATTTTAATTCTAAAACTAACCAAATATAGAAAACATGTAACTTCTGTTTTATATAACTGTTGCAGCTGAGGGTCAACATGGAGAGGAATGTAAAAAAAAATAAAAAAAATGGCAGTATCTGCAACTACTGTCAGTTTGTAGCTTGGGGTGCACAGATTATGAAGATGTTCAGCCAATTCTAATCCGTTGGCAGCCGCAGCGTTCTCTTTGCCCAAGTTACTGTTACAAAACTCCTCGGCCAAGAGTGTGCGGGACTTCGCTGAGGCCCGTTTCCTTCCTTCTAGCCTGTAAAGTTTTAGTGAAGCAAGAGTGCTGAGGCAGCATGTTCCCGAGTACTCCATCGTAAACGGTCACTGGCGGAGCCACCGGTCATGAGGGACAGACGGGGGGGGTGTTTGTGACAACCACCTGATTTGCGCCTCACAGGAAGGGGGCATGTTTGGACCACCTGCTGATGGGAAATACAACTTTTATGTATTTTTTTTTTTTAATCAGTCCAGGGACAGGAACTATAAATGTAAACAAAGAGAAATAATCTTAAACTCTGAGGTTGTCACTCATCATAAAATCTACAATACAACTTTAATGGCATCAAAATGTTTTGGTATAAGTTGTGTTTCTTTAATGTCATATAGTAGATTGAGCTGACAGCCATTTAATTAATCCACAGCTTGAGTGATTCTCCTCTGGGTTCTGGCTGGTATGGAGACTTCCTTGAAGGAGTCATGGTATTCAGAGGAACTGGATGCGATACCTCATGAGAAGTCACTTCCACTGTTCCAGACAAGTCCCCTATTTATTAAATATTGAGTTTAGAAAGGTCCACATAAGACAGAGCTAATAACAGTGGCTGCTTGTCTTGAATTAGACACAATGACGTTAACGTTCACACAACAATTAAATTATATCACCATTTTAGATCAAGTTGTCGTTTTACTGACACACAAATTATCCCTCTTCCTAAGGATATATTAGATGTTTTGTCCAGTTCTGCCAACTCGTAGCGATAAAAATTGGTCTTGGCATCAAACAGCGCCAGAGACAAGAAGAGTGTCGCGATGTTTCGTGTTATCAAGCAGGAAAATTAATGTCCGCGTCGTGAAAACCGTCAGGACGTTGTTAGCTTTGGTTCGATAGTTGAATAAAATCAATAGAAATAAAGGGCGTGTAATAAAACGGTTAAAAATATAAAAAATCTCATACCTTCCGCCATGTTGCTCGACGTTAGCTCGGTGGTGTCTATCGCGATATGCTGGAGCGGGCGCGTGGTGGGCGGTGGTGCTGCGTTCAAGTGACTCGCAAAAAGCTCGTTAGTTGATAGTTAATCACATGACCTTCTGTTCTCCGAGATTAGTGTGCTCGATGTTTCATGCACTTTTTTTATATATTTTGAGCGCATATACAAACAAACACCGCGGGAGAGATTCATTGCACTTGAAAAAAAAAATGTAATGAGTTCATATGAACAAATTTGTATTGTGGTCTGTGGCAAACACTTGGTTTGACAACGGTCTTTAAACGACTCTTGTTCTGAGGTAAAACTCTATCTTGCACAATCTATAGACGTAATATTTCTAGACAATCTATACACAACATCTATTAATGTTGGTGGTACACACGTTTAATTTTGGACTTTCTGAAATAAATGCAAACTCAAATGCAAGATCACTGAAGAATGGAAAACATGTCTTAACTCACCTTTTCCCAGATTTGTTCACTTCTTTAAGACAGAGACAAGCCCAGTCTATAAATTTGTTTAGTAGTTTTAATCCAGTTATGTCTACTGGAACCATTTAGAGAACTTTAGACTCCAAGGTTAACAGATAAATCTATGATATTATTAAAACACAAATTATTTTCTTCCCCTACTTTACATTTCCTTTCATTACAAACTGTCCTTCTATAGTTGAGGTGAACTGGGACATATTTTACACTACCTTGATCTTTTAATCCAAAAGATGAAGAAAAAAAAGCTTAATAAATGAGACCAAGACTTAATGGATCTGAAGCATTAACCATAAATATGTTTTGAGGAGTAAAAGAAAGGTATTCAACCCTAAACACACAGTATAACTCTCGCACACGGGTGTGGGAGCATCATACTGTGGGGCTGTTGAGCTATAGATGACACAACTGATTGAATGTTTACAACAAAGGGAGATTACCACCAATTCAGCATGATCTCTAATAATCAAATCATCCGGGCATCTAAAAGCTGAACTCAAATGGGAATTTGAGCAAGCTATGAAGACTAAACCTCCACCAAGCTGGTCGTGGAACGGAGAAAGAACCTTTTGAATCAGCACGTTAAGTCCTCAGAGTCGGTTCAACAGAAAACAAGTCGACTTGTTTTAAAATCTGCCTCCCCTGCAGGAACAGGCAACCATTAATCCAACAAAAGACAGTCCAACAAGAACCCCGTCAGATGCCGGTTTTATCTGAAACATGAATTTTCTGACCCAGCTGAATAACCTTGACCATTATTTCAGGAAAGAACAAATCAGGTCTCTTGTAAATGAGTCCTCGAGGCTCAATGAGACTAATTTGTATAAAGGTTGAATGAAAAAAAAAATCTAACGTACAAATTCTTAAACATGGAGCAATCATCCTGCTTCCTGAAAAGAACAGCACTTAAGTATTTGTCTGCGTGCCTGTGAAGGTTAAAACTATAATTTTAAACGTAAAATTTACTCGAGTAGAAAATAAATCAGAATAATTGCAACATTTTAGGAGCACAATTCAACTTTTGCAGGCATGACGAATACACGGTTGCCCAAATTGTATAACTCCTAATTTCAAATTTTGACTTGAAAATTGGCTTTGCTTGGAAATTATATTTCGTATTTTAATGCAGGAAATTTTGCCACTGCAATATCAAACAGACATTTTGATTAGTCTTGAACACTGGAGGAGGCTAAAGGCAATTTTAAGGCAAATATGTAAAAGTTGCGAGTCTGCAGCCTTCCTTATTTGCATGACAATGAACTAAAACAAACCCAAAATAAGAAGTTTTGAACCCACAACCTCAGGATTATAGGACCGCTGACCACCAAGCCCCCACCTCACGTCCAAAAATAATCGAAGAACGCATAAATATTGAAAAAAGGTCATGTTTTAGAACGCACTACAGGTTACAGGTTTCAGAACATGAAAAATATACATCAGTAATTTGTCTTTGTACACTGGGCAAACTGCATTAGATCAGAGGGCAGAGTCATGAGGTGGAGAACATGAATAACGAATGTCCAAAACAAACTAAATGAACTCGCATACAGTGTACATAAGCGTTTGAAAAAAAATAAAAGAAAAACAATAAAAGCATGCACAACAAGCTGCTGCTAAAACTGTTGGAGGATCTCAGATTGCATCAGGGAATCAAAACTTAGCATGTGTGCTGAACACTAGGGGCTTTTTGCTACAGCAGACTGTAACCAATACTCTATAGTGAATTCCTGTGTACTGGCTATCTTTTAAAACCATACTATAGATGAGAGACAACGTGTAACACCTGGCAACACAAGATGAAGTGGCCAAGCAGTTTATTAGGAGGCACTTTTGAAAAGAAAAAAAAAAAATTGCATGCAAACCAAAAAAAATAAAAATCCATGAGCATATTTCTTTTTCAAGTCGACTGAGCAGGATGGTAAGACTTCAAACCTAAAGGAAACAAAATGATTCAGGTACATGTATGATGCAGAGTTCTGGGAGGGGTATAGAGTCTGGTGGTGTTCCTCAGGCATGTCGCTGAAGTCCTGATTGGTCTTCACAGCCGACATTCCCTCCAGCAGCACTGATTTGTTCTCTTTAAGACCTCCTGTGAAACCTAACGATAACTAATGCATCCTGGAGTTTCAAGAGGGGAAAATCTATTCAAACCAGCACTATATATTTGGTCTAAATGTCTTGATGGATGAAAAAAGGAGCATATATATTATCCGGTTTAGTCTGTGCTATATACATGTCTTTACAATATCATCCTGAACGTTGAAGCAGTTCATAAACTTGAAAAAAAAAAAAAAGTTTTAACATCTTCTGGGGGTTTTGTCTGTGTGAGTTGGCACTTTGCTTGGAGATTTTCTGGTAGTCACTGTAATGTTATATTGCATCCTACAGGAGTCAGTCTGTTCCGGCCAGAATGAAGGAGGACAAGCCTGGCGTCAGGGTGGAAGAGTGCAGAAAACAGTGCCATTTGGATTTTCAAACTGGAGACCTGGACGAAAACAACAAATTCGAGAAGAAAAAAAAAAAACGTGTTAAGAAGCAGCAAAAGTAATGGCACGAGTCAAAATATCAACAGCACGAAATGTTATCACAAGGATCAAGAAACGTTGACCATTAGTGCATTATATGAACTCGGTTCAAGCACAGGAATGTTTTTGAGCAAAGCACTTGTCAGTCAGTGCAAGAAAAAGTTTAAATCCTTAAAATCCAGTAATAAAATACAACTAAATGAGCTCAACTGTTGTTTCACATACCAGTACGTATTTAGTGTATGCCACCAGTCTCACTGTGGTGGGAAAATGGTGTGAAACTGTGTTTTGGGCATGACAATGCCGTCCTCCCTGTTTGTCCTCAGACTCTGTTTGGGTCTTAAAGAATATGAGCTGGCTGATGTCGGTCCTGATCATTTCCTCAGCACTTTTGATCACTCTGGAGAGCACTCCTCTCCACCTGGGTGATGTTTTCATACCAGATGGTTTAGGTCTTAGGCACGGAAATAATGATAGTCAAGTGTATTTGGGTGTTTAAACAGGTTTGTTGTGGTTATCTCTAGAGGCCGACCAATATGGAAGTTTTAGCTATCGCCAATACTGATATTGAGAGGGGCAGAACACTAATATTGACCGATAAAATGGCTGTAATTTTTTAACTTTGTCCACCCCCAAGAATCTAATAAAACAGTGTGTGGGGTGGGGCTTTTTTTTTATTTAGCACAGCTGTTAGCAACCGTGAAGCTAAGCTAACCAGATCCACTCTTTGATTAGTCCCACAGTAAGTTTACAAGTGGTGTACTGGTCATAAAAACAGTCTTCCTAACGTGCGTTCACATTTTCTATCCTCCACTATTCACCATAAAGTTATCAAGTGTGTTACAAAAATAGAACTTGAAGAAACATCCTTCCCTGTTCATTGCTTGAACAGTCACGTGTAGTGAAGGTATAATTAGTATTGACTAGGGCTTTAACAGACTACTCGAGTAATCTACACATCGATTCCTAGGACACCTATCGAGGTTTTTAATTTCATGTCGAGTATTCGGGGTGACGTCATTACGCCACCGTTACGTCATTGCGTCACGTGATCCGCACCGGGCGTGGGTTACAAAACGGATTCCTCCAAGCAGACGGATGGAGCAGAGCAGGCCCGGTCTTGGCAAACAGGTAGAAATGCATCAATAGTCTGGAAATATTTCACTAAAGATTAATCTTCTGGTTCAACTACTGTAAGGAAACAGAAAATTAATCAACTTCCTGACTGTTTGGAGCTCGTTGTGAACCGGTGTTGCACCATATTTTGTGACCACCGTATATTGTGACCGTAGGGGGCGGTGTTGCATGCACTGTTGCAGGTCACAGAATATGGTGCAACACCGGGTCCAATCGACTGAACCAGAACCAGCTTCCTCTGACCTTGTTTCACAAACAAAAAGCAAAAAATATTAATCTCTAAACCTATAAAAAAACAATCTATAAACATATTAACCTCTAAAACTAAACTTAATGTGCAGCACAGCTGGCGGTGGTGCGGGGTGGTCGACCCCACAACTGGTTTTAGTTTCGTTTTTCACGTGCTGCACGTTTCTTCACGTTTGCAGCTTAACAATAAAAACTAAAAGTTTAGTTTTTCCTGTGACTTATTTGCAGTAGGAGCATAATATATACTCTCCCAATGTTTTGTTGGTCCTTTTTTTTGTAAATAATGACCTTTTTGCAGTTTTATTTATTTTTGTATCTTTAGATCCTATGATGTC